GCAGGGAGTAGGGTGCCGTCGGCGTTGGCGTCGCTTCTGAGGTATTAGTATGTCAATCAGAAAAATAACCAGATGAACTTTCGGATACGAGCGGGTTGGAGTGTGGGGTGACGCATGGGGGTTCGAGCTCACGTGGAGCTCACCCTTGCTTATCAATCTGTATGTAAACGCTCTCGTTGAGAAGCTCAGCGGCATGCATGTCAGCTATTATGTTGATGGTGTCTGCGGTAACAATTTCAGCTATGTGGACGACAAGGTGTAGCTGGCCCCGTCGATTGGGGCTCTCTGGAAGTTACTTGCAGTTTGTGAGTCTTTTGTGGCGTTACACGGACTTGCCCAAAATGTGAAAAAGACTCTCTATAATAATGGTTTTTAAATCGCATCACAAGAACCCGCCGATTCAGCCGATTGTCTTGAAAGGATAGGACAATCCTTAAGTAGAGTATCGCAGTTTAAATATCTCGAGCATTGGGTTACCGATGATTTATAAGATGATGTTGACATGGAGAGCGAACATAAAGAGCATTGTCAGTTTGGGCGAACATGTTGGCACGCAGATTCTCTTCTCGTACAGATGCAGTTAAAATAACGAAAAAAAAAAAAATTGTTCAATGCGTATTGCAACACACGAAATCACGGGAAATGTACGATTATGTTCTTCTTTTACTATTAGTTTGATGGATATCAGTTATCTCAATAAATAAACTACCATTATTGAAAACATTACCAAAAAGTGCTTAAATAGATGTGAGTGCTGTGATGAGTATAGTCAGATATTAAGAGTGGGAGAGCCATGCTTTGGCACGAATGGGCCTGCTCGACTGGACTGATACTGTGGTACCTATCACGATTTTTCGGAATTTCTGTTAGGCCGTTGACTATAGCCGTTAATAGAAAATCGACGTGAAACAACGCTTGCGTTGTGTTTCGTCGTGTAAGTAAGGAGGCTTCATCTCTCTAATCTCTGAATCCCCAACAATCCTCAAATTCCTAATCATCAAAAGTTCGGTACCGCACTTTTAACGCCTCTGGTGTTTCGGATGTCCATGGGTGACGCCGATTGCTTACCATCAGGTGAACCGTCTGCTCGTAAGAAATCTCAAGAGTCGCGGGAAGCCATTGGATGTAAGTGGCAAGGTGTCGTATACCAAAGTTTCATTAAAATCGGTTCACTTGTTTCCATGAAATCGAACTTCAAAGTTTTTATAAAATTCTAGTACAGGATTTCATTAAACGATCTTTGTAAATTACTAGAAGGAGGACAAAGTTGGAGTGAGTCGCTCTCACAATCTACTAACTAGTACATGTGAATACCTAACAAACGAATTAATTGTTATTTTCCTTACACTTTATTGTTTATGGAATATACGAGGAAAACTATATTGTTGTTCATTTGTTTGTCTCCCAGACTTAGAAGATGTTTGTATTGTTTTATTTTAGATTTTTATTTGATTATTTTGTAACCGTTTGTTGATGATAGCTCTTCAAACTCTCCGAACATAATGAATAATTAATGAATTTAATTGATTAAGTATATCCCATTGGGGCTAGGCTACTTCAGGCTAGTGCAAAAAGTTTTGAAACAATATCATATAGTAGTTTTTAAGTAGGTACTATTGAGTGCATAGGCCCAGATGAGTGTACATCTAAAATATTGGATTTGAAAAATATTTTCAATAGTAGTGGAATGAAAGGCACTGCAAAAGGAAGAGAATGTGCTCCATCGTAGACCGCATCATCGCTTACCGTCAGGCGAGATAAGGGTCAAACGTCGGCCCATCAAACATAAAAAGAATGTTCCCAAAAATATGAAAAAATAAATTACGTGCGAACTGAGAACTATAAGTCCTACAAAAATAAAAAAATCTATGTTGTAGATACTAAAAGATCTACAACTTTTGTGTAAATATTGATGCTATGTATTGTATAAAAATAATAACGCTAAATGCGGAAAATTCAAAATACTATTTTTTTTTATTTTTAATTTTAATCTTCCTCATCTTTGTTTATTTATTTTTTGTGAAAATTTGCGGTGAGGTAATGTTTTATGTTTCTAAAACTGTTTCTGTCGCAAATATAAATATTTTATTCTTTTATTTACCTATTGAAAAAGTAGTTTCATTTTCAGCTGAAACTTCTCACGTAAAAACTTAAAAGTTAAGCAGACAACTGGTGCGCTTCTTAGGTATTTGCCAAAATGTCTATTTTCGGATAGTGAAAAAAATAAATTACTTTTGTATCGATTCACCCCTCGAATTCTATTCACCCCGTTTTACGGTTACATGACATAACATCACGCTTTTTATACCCGATGGGGTAGGTGCACATTACGACACTTAATGCCACTGTACAATGTAACACCCACTTTGTACTATTTATGTTATGAGTCCCATGTAATAGGGGGTGAGCCTATTGCTATATGCCGGGCACAATTTCAGACTCTGTGCTACTATACTTTACCCGATCCGTAAATCGGACCAGACTGAGACCTCGAGGCCAACAAGGCAGTCAGTTTAATTGTATCTTCAGAGAAAATGTCATTAGGTACCCTAAAAAAATCGTGCCTGTAAAGATACACACATTTCCACCGCCTCAGATTGTTCGTGTTTTATTCTTCCAAATGTTTGGGCAAATTTTCTTCCTTTTGCGATAGGTTTGATTCTACTAGGTACTACAATTTAACGACGTTTCCGACTGTTTAAGGATGTATCTTTTTTAGTACACTGGGCCGACATAGACCACGGCGTTACTTGTAGCCTTGATAAATATGCCTTTTATCTTTATATATATCTTTATCTTTATATATATAAAAATGAAACCCGTTTCGCGTTGTCACGGCATCAAGTGTGAACGGCTGAACCGATTTCGATAATTCTTTTTTTTTAATGTTTGTGGAAGTCCAAAGATGGTTCTGACTGAAAAAATATTAAGAAAATCTTTCAGAAATATTGAAAAATATATATTTAGTTTTGCATATTTTTTTTTTCTTCTTTGGCAACCGAGTCTCCACAATGGTGTTGTCGACTATACTGCCAGTGTCGAGTGGTGTTTTGCATATTTTAAAAAACGCGCGTAACGAATGTCAACGTCATTCACAGCTATAGACTATATTGAAAGAGTATCGTTTGTTCGGAAACATGGTTACTTAATTAAGTTTGTTCGGAAAAGTGGTTACTTAATTAAATTCTATTGCACTAATTTATTAATTTTTGAAAATAACTCGCGCCGGAATAGTAAACCTATACAAATTTCGCATAACCTATTTAGTAATCTGTGGTAGTATCTGTTTTCAAAGTCAAAGTCAAAGCATTTATTTCAATTAAACCATAATTGGGTACTTTTGAAACGTCAACAAATACAAAATAAATAATAGTCTGTTAGTCAGTCTGTCATTGAAGTTCCCTAACTTGACATTGGCGATTGGCTGAACAGCAAGCCAATTAAAAAAAAATCTGTTATAATCTGTGGCATCACATATATAACCGCGGTAACAATAATTGTAACAAGTTTTTGATAATGTTTGTTTTGTTTTAAAGACTAAGAAGCTTTTTGTTTGTTATTAAGTGTTTGTTAATTATGGTAAGTTGACAGCTTCATATCGATTTTTGGTAACTTTTGGTGACTTCATACCTCGGAACAATAACTAAAGCAATTGTTCCGATCTACATACCTAATATTACAATTTGGTATACATGGTTATACAGAAAATATATAAGAGATTCTTATTTTCCGTTGGATTTTCGTTTTTAATAATGCCACCAACCAGACGTACATGAAAATATATATTTTGTTTTTTTATTTAATGAAATTAATAAAGTCCTTCTCAGGTTTGGCGAGACCGAAAAACCGAACCGAAAATAGTGAATCAAAGCTACGCTAAGGCGGTACGAAGTTCGCCGGGTCAGCTAGTAGTAAGTATAAATTATAATGAAATAACATTCATTCTAACTAAAACGTTTAAAATAAGAAATGAAATAAATCGATTGAAACAATAATTATAAAAAAGATAATTATACAAAACGTTTCTTTCACAGCACTTCAGAAGAATAGAAAGTAATTGAACATTATAGTCGGTTTATTTTGAACAGTGGGATGGACCCCACGGTTCAAAATAAAGCGACTGGTGATCAAATGGAAGTATTTATTAAGAGTACTTGTGTAACTAGAGAAACGGAATTTTATCTATTCTGTTTTTCCATTACTTCTTATGCTTCAGAACTGAACTTCTTTTGCTCTTTTCAATTATTTAGTCCGGTTTAAACTGTCAAACACCAAGCGGTCACCGGTGACCGCAACCTATTGTTCTATAATTGTGTCTACAAAACCGGTACTCGACGAGTTAAAAAATACCATTCAGCATATTTTCAGTATCAATAATTCAGCTTTACTAACTAGCTCACGATATTTATAATTAAGAAGGTATGCAAAATATTGATCTGAGGCTCTTCGCAGTGCATTGCACCTCTCGCACCCCGTACCCCCGCAGCCCCGTCCTCCGTTACCGTGGCAACGCCTGAGCTCAGCTCGCAGCATCCCGGCCGTCCGGAACACAGCACCACTATTTTATTTTACTCATTAAACTTACTGCAAGGCCTCTCAGCTAGGTCGGTGCTTCATCTATGACGATCATGGTCCATTTAAGGGTTGCCAGTTATCCTTCCTCCTCCTCAGTTGTCTTTAACCTAAGTACACACTACGATTTTTTAGTGAGCAACAAAATTATCGCACCGCACTAGGATTTATAGAGCAATGCGCGCATTAGCCACATAGACATCATATTTACAGTCCGATAATGAAGACTAGGCTTTAGCACGTAAAGATTGTTGGCCTAGTCCACTCTCGGCTCCTCCGCCCCCTATAAATGATGTGTTCACTGGGCCCCTAATTATAGTCTTCGTATTATTTACGTACTTACCTAATTTTCAGGAGAGTGTAATAATAATACAATTTATTATAATGATATTTATGATCTAATTTATTACAGTAATAACACAAAAACTTAAAACAATCATACTTTTCATAGAACTGGTATTGCGTAGTGGTTGTGAATAGTGTATTTTCCTTAAACATGCTATAATTGTCTACAAGGTAGTACCTAGTAGTGAAAGGATGGTTCCACTCATCGACGACTTACTCTAAAGACGTCGATGGTTGCTCTATGGCCACGTGAGTGAGAGTGAAGTGGCTCGTTTCAAATCGCGAACGAATTTGTATTCTTCGAGCGTCCTAGTATATTTTAGTCTTTTATTTTTTTTTACTTTTCCTGTTGTAAAGATCTATAAATATGAATGCAGTTTCACTTGTCTCCTATAAAATAAAGAACAGTGAAAGTTTATTGTAACCTCACATATCTTCAAATGATACATTTTCTGATTGCTTTCATTGCATCTCCGTCATGCTCATCATATTCTGGCGTGCAGGAGTTGTAGGACATTTTCTCTTAGCATTACTTTCATGTAGAAATATGAGTATAATGACAACTCCTAACAGCCACTTATTTGTTGATACTATTCCGTACAGCCTCATGGTCCATACACTGTAAGCATTCGCAGCCTCCGAGATTGTGATAAACGTCATTAGTTTCATATATTGCGAGAAACTGCAAAAAACAAGGGTATTTTTATTAGTTCCATTTTTATCCGCTCTATATATTTCTTTCGTAAATCTGCATCCATCTTTTCTTCATGTAAAAACCATTGTTTCCCTTTTCAATCTTTGTCACTACATCGTCTTTCAATCCACATCTTCCTCTAATATTTTTCACTCGATCAATCAATTTTACTATACATCCTGCGTAAGGCTCTCATTTCCACCACATTCATCTTGCTTTCTTCTTCTTCAGTACCATACATTAGCGTTGGTGTCAATATACACTTTATCAGCAAGTCGAACTTTGCTGGATAGAATTTACTCGACGTTACAAGAGTAAGGCACCGTTGACACTATTTCCTGTTTTTACTCTTCTTTGAATATCCCCCTCACACTTTGCATCACTCGTAAACAGGGATCCCAGAAATAAAAAGTCATTCACTTGTTCCAATTTTTCATCTCGTATTTTTTCATTACCTTACATTCTGTTATTACCTCATTCCTTTCTATCACCATCTTCTTTGTTTTGCTCACATTTACTTTCATAACTTTCCTTTCGAATGTATCATTCATCACAGTGATTATTTCTTGTAATTCATCTTCCGACGAAGTAGCAAGTACCTGGTCACCATACCCCCCGTACAAAAATGTTTTGATCACTGTTTCATTCATTATTACTCCACACTCACCTACTTACTTTCAAATCATTCAAACAGCTGTCCATGAATAAGTTCGGGGCTGACATGTTCCTGAACGAAAAGTTCTTAAAACAATAGATAATAAAAAAAATGAAGAACTTGCACAGCCTAGGAGATGGTACACAGCCTTAATCCTATACACGTTATTAACATGGACTTTGTGTGGAAGTGAGAAGAAAAGGGTAGAGGTTTTAGACGTATGGTGTTGGAGAAGGATTATTGGAGTGTCGTGAATAGATTTCTGAATTACTGCGTCAATATTAAACAAATTCGGTATCAAACGGTGCTTGTCAGCGACGGTTCAGGCACGCATCGTCTGCGTGGAGCGTCTGGTAGTACAGGGAGAGGTTGGGGTACTAAAGCGCGGTAGAACCCCGGTGATCACATCATCATCAAACAAAGGCAGCAACTAGCGCTGTTAACTGCGATGTCCATAAGTTTGAAAGAATGGCTGCGGTCTGACAAGAATGGCGTCGTGAAGAAAGAGAGTAATGGAAGAAACGTTCTGTTGTCATACCTTATTACATCATATTTGATCGCGTCGTTGTAAGTATAAGTCATTGCAAGACTTCCGAAAAATCCTTCGTACGCCTTTGGTATGATTAAACAACATAAAATTATATTGTACAAGAACATAATCATCCCGGGGACATAGATGTACAAAATCATCTCCTTTCCTGAAAATATAACATAAGAGTATTTGTCATGGCGTTATAGTGGGCCATAGGTAGAATCCGTTTCTTAAATGTAGGTATGAATACGTTTTTAACCTCTTGAGTGCCAGTATAAGAGACACAATAGAAATCACATTGTGTCTCGCGTAGATCTACGTTCCGGCATTCCACGGGTTAATAGTTAGCCTTCTGTTATGGCGACGTACTTCCATAGTAAATTTTCGCTTCTTAGGACAAAAATGAAGTTCTGTGGATTTTCAAAAACTTAGGTTAGTAATGAGCTGCATCAGAGACCAGGTATTTTAAAGGAAACATGGAGTAGCCTCTGCCCGCAGCTTCGCTAGTGCTTTATTAACGGGCTGACGGCACGATTTACAAGACTGTAAGATTTTTTGCTGGCCACAAATAATCCGCATATCAATTTTTAGCTTTCCACCTTGAAAATTGCAAAATGCTCCACACAAACTTCCACCCCTGATCCAGGGAAGTGGGAGGTTAGAAAGAGTCAAAAAGTAGTCTATTTTATACTCTCTATCCTTTCAACTATCTCCACTCCAAATAATTGTAGTAGCTCCGTTCTGCCGTGAAAGACGGACAAACAAACAGACACACACAAATTTATAATATTAGTATAGATTTCTATGTCATCTGACATTTGTTTAACAAGTGAGCTTACGAAGTCAAAGTGTCATAGTGTTTTTTTAGTTATTACGATATTAACGTTATGTTGTGCAAAGAGGTTAAAATTAAGTGTGGAAGAGCCATGCTTCGGCACGAATGAGCCACCACGGCCTCACAGAAAACCGACGTGAAGCAACGCTTGCGTTGTGTTTCGTCGCGTGAGTGAGGTTACCGGAGGCCCAATTACCCTCCCCTTCCCCAATCTCCCCAATCCCTGAATCCCCAACGATCCTCAAACTCCTAATCCTCAAAAGGCCGGTAACGCACTTGTAACGCCTCTGGTGTTCCAGGTATCCATGGGCGACGCCGATTACTTACCATCAGGTGATCCGTCTGCTCGTTTAACGGCTTCTATGCCATAAAAAAAATCCACGAATAAAATATTATCAGATTAACCTGATTTTGTATTTTTTCATTTATATAAAAATAAAAAACTAATTACACAGTGCAGAGCTGAACTCTTCATTTTAGTCCGTCAAAGCGAAATTTATTATGAAAGTTTGGCAGTCTACTTTAAGTAATTTGAATGGAATGTTTGAAAAAGTACCAAAAGAACTCTTTATATTATTATATTGGTATTGCTTAAGCTGTGTCGATTATGGACAATAGACCCAAGGAATGTACAAAGTCGTATAGTAGAGGACATCAATATCAACATAAAATCAATGTCAATCATATGTAACTACCCCTATGGTTATGCCACAATAACTAAGTTTTCTTCAATAGTAACGTCGCATCGGTACATACCAGGCCACATTATACGTACTAGAGTAATATCCTAACACAGCAAGTACCAATGAGACTTTTCCGAGTTATATTATTTTCTAAGATTATTTTTGAAACCAAGACAATAAATTTATGAATAAGTATTCCATCGAATCTGATGAAATTTTTTACAGCCGTAGATTATACTTTGGCATAGACTAATTTTAAACCGAATTTTTTTCAGAAGTCATTATTTTACGCGGACGAAGTCACGGATAACAGCTAGTATATTTTATATTATAGCTCAGTATGTGATGGCTAGCTATACTATAATATACATTAATATACAGGGTGTTTGGTACATCGTGTGCCAAATTAAAATAAACGACAGAAGGGGTCATCTGCTAGCCCTTCATAACAAAACATAAGCGTAAACGTTGTTATAAAAACCACAAAACATGAGGTGTGTCCCTCTTACTAATTTTACATTTAAATTAAAATTTTAAGAAAAGTATAAGGCGTATACTCTGAATTTCGAAGAGGCTCAGAGCGTGCCTCGGGGTGGACGAGGCCCGCGTGTCCAGGCCCACCAAATGTGTGGATGTCCGGATTCTGGGCCAAACGCCTCCTGCCGGAGGTTATATAGCGGGCATATCGGGTCGTGCGGTCCATGGCCCTCTACGGCGCCCCTGTGTGGGTGCCGAACCTGATGCGGCGGCCCGCTCGGGCGCTGCCGACGTCACAGAGGGTCTTGGCAATCCGAATGATCCGCGGATACCGCACGATCTCCGGGGAGGCGGCGAACCTCCTTGCCGGATTGCCGCCGTGGGATCTGGAGGCAAAGGTGCTCGCGCGCGTGTATCGCATGCGCGCGGAAGCACGTCACCGGGTCGAAACTCCAATGCCGTGCCAGATTAGTTTGTGGCGGGAAGTACTCCGGCGCGATCTCATTGCGGAATTCTCAGCAACGACTGTCGCAATCGAGACTGGGTTCGCAGCGGTAATTCCCTCCTTTTTGAGAAATGGCTTGAGAGACGCTGCAGCGTCCTCACCTACCTCCTGACGTAGGTCCTCACCGGACATGGGAGCTACAGGAGGTACCTGAGTCTGATAGGGCGGCAGAATACGCCGGGTGTCATCACTGCGAGGACCGCCCTGAGGACACGGTGGAACACACAGTAAGAGAATGCCCTGCGTGGGCTGAACAACGCCGCGCGCCGTGCCCTCAGGGACGTGATCGGTGACGGCGACCTCTCGGGTCCGGCCCTACTTCGGGCCATGATGCGGAGCGACGGGACTGGAATGCCGTCTCCTCCTTTTGCGAAGCAGTCATGCTAGCTAAGTAGGAGGCGGGGTGCATGAGACAGCGAAGCGCTGCCTTCTCACAACCCAGCCGTCGCGAAGGACACTCTGGGCGTCGGGGATCGCGAGACGATCTCCGGCCACCGTAAGCGCGGGCCTGTGGACGGCGAGCATGGGAGGGTCGCCGCCCAACCAGAACCAGACTCGAGCGTACGGCGCGCCTCAAAGAGCCATCGACCACCACGGATGGGGCCCAATAGGGCTGATACCGATACGGAGTCGCGGAGAACCTAACGGGTTACCGGAGCTCCAGCTTGAATTGCAGGAGTAGGAACGGGGTGGTTTTTAGTCAGTAAGAGTAACATCGAATGACTGCTCCCGCCTGGGTGAGGCGGGAGGGAGTGTCAGACTCTTACTGACTAAAAACCACCCCGTTCCTTCTCCTGCACGTCGAGCCGGAGCCCCGGTTACCCGTTAGGTTCTCCGCGACTCCGAATCGGCATCGGCCCTATTGGGCCCCATCTGTGGTGGTCTGATGGCTCTTTGAGGCGCGCGCGGAACGCGACGCGCCGTACGCTCGGGTCTGTTTCTGGTCGGACGGGGAGCCACCCATGCTCGCCGTCCGCAGGCCCGCGCTTACGGTGGCCGGAGATCGTCCCGCGATCCCCGACGCCCGGTGTGTCCTTCGCGATGGCTGGGTTGCGAGGAGGCAGCGCTTCGCTGCCTCACGCGTCCCGCCTCCTCCTTAGCTAGCATGACTGCTTCGCAAAAGGAGGAGACGGCATCCCAATCCCCCTCGCTCCGCATCATGGCCTGCACTAGGCCCGGACGCGAGAGGTCGCCATCGCCGATCACTTCCCTGAGGACACGGCGGTGCTCAACCCACGCAGGGCATTCCGCTACAGTGTGTTCCACCGTGTCCTCAGGGCGGTCCTCGCAGTGATGACACCCGGGCGTTTCCTCCCGCCCCATCAGACACAGGTACCTCCCGAAGCTGCCATGTCCGGTGAGGACCTGCGTCAGGCGGTAGGTGAGGACGCCGTAGCGTCTCTCAAGCCACTCCTCAAAGAGCTTACGACGTTTAGGAACAGATTGTGAATTTCATGATTCGAATTGACGAGTATAAAATGAAGAATTTTAATATTTTTCGTTTCATATTCACCTGTGCAAGTGAGTATAGTGTCCATTTTAGGTGTAATGAACCACGGAATATATCTCAAGTCCATTAAATTTATGATTAAAATTGCTATAGTTAGAATCAGAGGAAGACCAAAAGCATACGCGATGTATTTGATGTATTGTTTGAATTTATTTTGACGCGTGTTCATTGTGTTTCCTCCTGATCTGAAAATAAACAAATGTTGATCAGTTTGGGGAATTTTCCGTGTTCTACCTCTATATATGTCTCATATACTAATGAGAATCGTCATAAGAAAAAAATTATATTTAAGAAAAAATCGACGAAAAAAAGTCTGGACTTAAATAATGATGTTAATAAACAAAATACAATATATAATATGATCGGACGGATTTGCTTAAAATTTTAATCCTCGTGTTTGGATATACCCAAGTGTAATAGCAAGTAGACTTACTTTATTGATTTCCATACAATATGGAACATCACATTGGTCAATGAAAATGTGGCCAAATTACAGAAAATATGAAATGATTCTGAAAAAAAAGGTATTTGAAGTTGATATAACATGTGTATATGAAATCACGAGCATGCACATGTGTGTGTAGAAAATAACATCCGTACACTCTTTTATTATATTTGTAATACATTCAAAGTGAACCGAAACATACAAATGAATAAATTTAAATAAATAAACTTTCTTACCCATAACCAATACAGTGTTACGGACAATAACGTGATTAAAGACGACATGGTGTATTTCTATAAAACTTTTGCTGAGGTAGCAACAGAGGAGAGTCATCACTAACATTCCGTGGAGGTCTCGGAGATGTGGGCGGACACAATACATTACTAGGACATACATCAGCAATATTATACACAGTACATGCGCTGAAACATTTCATATTTAAGTTTACTTAGTTTCACTTCATTTACGAAACATATTTTTCATTTATGTCATCTTTATTTAACAAATGAACTTTTAACATTATTTAATAAATGAATTACCAACTAGTCTGTAACATATTGAAGTTCCATTTTCTTCCGGCCACCACGTTCGTTCTTCATTACCAAAGTCACCAAAGAAATTGATTTTGTGTCTCCTCACATCTATACAAAAATTATTCACGCTTATTTTATCAAATCCGTTAACGTCGTTGTCCATGTCGTAGAATAATATCCCATCCTGGAAAATATCATTAAAAGTGTTGTTAATTGCCACTTACATAATAGAGGTTTTACTGATTTTGGTGCATTGCAACAACTACATCACTACATAGTATAAAACAAAGTCGCTTTATATAAATATCTTTATCGCTTTAACCTATATCCCTAGGTATGCTTAAATCTTTAAAGCCACGCAACGGATTTTGATGCGGTTTTTTAATCGAGTGATTGAAGAGGAAGGTTCATATGCATAATATAGCAGAGAAACACGGATAATTTTTCAGATTTCTTGTGTGGTGTCGTAAATAAGCGCAGTTTTTTCGTTGCCTAAACTTTACGGGTTGTAACGGGCACAACACCATCTCAGTGCCCCAGCCAACCTCGTCTGCTCTGGCGACCAACTCAAGGCGCAAAAACCATGCTAAGTAGGCGTAGCAAAATTTCAGACTAGTGACGGGGGAGCAGCCCACACAGTGACGCCGTAGAGGGCCATGGACCGCACGACCCCGGCGTTAGACGTGCCATTGGAGAGTATATAGAATTGTGGAAGAACACAGGCTGATGATGAATGATGATGATGAAACTTTACGAAATAAGTTCGACTTATAATGTACTACAGTCTTGTACAGTAATGGTCTACAAAAAAGTCCACGATAACATATTTCTATCTATTAGGGATAAACCACAATAACCACAATAACTTTTTTATCCTTTACATTTTACTGTACGTATCCAGCATTAATCCTTACATTATCCAATTAAGCATTGGGCTCGCTGCCATTGCAGCGGTAAGTCCCCTCTTTGAGGAGTAGCTTGAGGGACGCTACGGCGTCCTCAACCAGCGCCGTAAATAGGGCGGTGACAGCGGTGCCCAGGCACAGGGCGCAGACCCTGGAGGGGCGCAGAAATGACCAGACCGCCCTACTGTACTATCTAAATCTGTATCGCATTCTTAAACGATCTTGAATCCACAACACATGTCAAACGACTTACGACACATCAGACAAATGTATAACCACCTTAAGTCTTGCTCGCAATTTTACATACACAAACAAAAGTACCTATACTATACCGTTCTCTGATATTCCATAAAAATAAATTTTCAATATACCTATATATTTTTCATATAAAAATAAAAAATATTACAAGTAAAACACACGACAGAGCTGAATCAGCGAAGCGCTGCCTCCTCGCAACCCAGCCATCGCGAAGGGCACACCGGGCGTCGGGGATCGCGAGACGATGTCCGGCCACCGTAAGCGCGGGCCTGCGGACGGCGAGCATGGGTGGCTCCCCGTCTGCCCAGAAACAGACCCGAGATTACGGCGCGTCACGTTCCGCACGCGCCTCAAAGTGCCATCAGACCACCACCGATGGGGCCTAAAGGGCCGATGCCGATTCGGAGTTGCGGAGAACCTAACGGGTTACCGGGGCTCAACTCGACGTGCAGGAAGAGGAACGGGGTGGTTTTTAGTCAGTAAGAGTCTGACACTCCCTCACGCCTTACCCAGGCAGGAGCAATCATCCGATGATTTTCCCGCCTTAAAAACATCCAATTAAGTATCTTAAACATATTGTATGTACATTTAATATCTTTAACAGCATGAAATTTGAATGAGTATTTTCGAAGATACTTTAGGCGCCATTAAGGTTAATTTTCTAACTAGTCTTTTTGGGTCCCAATCCAAAAAAATAGGAAAGGGCTTTTTCGAGATTGTGGATCTTCCCATAGGAATTTGATACCAATTATCAACTTTGTAATTTCAAATAATATTTTGTAATCTGTCATCTGAGGTCTGTCAGGGCCCCGTTGAATTAGGGACCCCATACCACCACAAGCAGCCAGCATTGGCGTAGCTACGCAACTGATCAGCATTGCACCTGTGCGAAGCCAAGGTGCCACCTTTCTACTCGCTAGATAAAGAAAATTAAGAAACACTCACCTCTGATAAGTATACTTCAAATATTAAATTTAATGGAAATGTATACGTTCTGAACTCTTCATTAGAAAAATGATTCGGAACTAAGTGGAACGTATCTTGGAGCGTCTTATCTGTCCGTAGTAGGTTCGAATCATATATAACTACGTCATTCAGTATTGATAGCTTGTCCGGTTTGGTGGGAATACATCGTCTGCCTCGAACTGATTCTCCGAAGTTACAACATTTCCATATACACTTTTTTGTAGTATTTTTACAATATCTGGTAATATTTCCATAATCTCGTGGTTTATAAGTTGTTTCTGGTAACGTTATGTTGTTTTCAAGCATCCGTTGATACAGACGTTGCCTGTGATCGAATGATTCTACATCACAAATTAATATTATAGTAGTTGTTGTGAGAAACACAAGTAGTCTCATTTTGATTACTTCGATGCGACTGACGACGGAATTGTTTCCATGATTCTAATTATACTTACTTACCTATATGAATCATTACATGCGTGGTACATTACTTATTTATTCTTCATTATACCTACAATTGCTTATCGGAGGACTTAACGCTAAAAGTATTTTCTACCATCCTCATCCTCATCCTCAAAGAATGACTTTAGGTAGTCCAGACATGTACGCGATAGATGGCGGTAGGACGTAAATGTGTATATAAAACTATACATATATACATAACACTGGGGTTTTTTTTAAAAATCTCAATAGTAGCACGAAGTCTGGAACTGTGCCCAGTATATGGTAATAGGCTCACTCCTATTACATGGGACTTATAACATAAATAGTGAAAAGTGGGTGTGACATTGTCCATTGGTAAAATTTGCACTTCTGCCTACCCCTTAAACTGTCAAACACCAAGCGGTCACCGGTGACCGCAACCTATTGTTCTATGATTGTGTCTACAAAACCGGTACTCGACGAGTTAATGGATAAAAGGCGTGATGTTATGTTACAATGCATAACAATGAATATCTAAATATTACAGGTGACTGACTGACTGACATAGTGATCATACAATGCACAGCCCAAACCACAAGTTGGATCGGACTGAAATTCTGCGTGCAGGTATATGTTGACGTAGGCATTCGCTAAAAATTATTAATAATGAATGAAAAATGAAGAATGAATAATAAGAATGCCCACAAGGCTCTCAGGGCCAACTTCGGCTGTTGGATTAGTGACTTAAGAAATTATTTTTTATAAAATGATTTATGTTGATAGCCTATGTTGTTCAATAAAGATAGTTGCATCTTTGTAATGGTGAAATAATTTTTGAAATCGGTCTATCTGTGTTTTTGTGAAAGAGCACTAGAAACACACATACATATATATATGACTGTTTATTCGCTATTATCTAATTATTAGCGGAATCTTGTTTGTTGAGGATTTTTTTTTTCAGAAGCTTGTCTATATCTATATATATATAAAAGAAAGTCGTGTTAGTTACACCACTTATAACTCAAGAACGGCAGAACAGATTTAGCTAAAAATTGATATGGAGGTAGCTTACAGCCAGGAGACGGACATAAGATACTTTTTATCCCGTTCGAAAAAAAAAGTTTAGTTTAGTTTAGTTTTAGTTTCCGGGAAAAACAGGATTGCGCGTACGAAGTCGCGGGCAGAAGCTAGTTTGTTATAATTAGGAGCAGGTTCTAGGATAAACACTAACTTGAAAATAAAAGAAGGTTGAAGTCGGTAGTTTTATAAGTAGTTTAATGAAAATTTTCATAAAATAAAAAACGTCTTTTGACTTTGTGTCAAAAAATAATTATAATTTACGTACCTAACTTTAAAAAAAGATACCTCTTAATACGTAACACGACATTATTATACATTTATAATTAATATTCTATTGTACACACGGCCACACATCAATCTATACAAAACCAGTTTATCCTGGTGTCGCGACGCATCATCTTTCCGCACATTCAACGTTCAGCTTATACTGGTTATGTAAAGCTCGATGTGTAGCTGTGTGTACCTACTTAATAAAAGTTTCAAACTTCGTAACAATGCAGAAAATATTATTGACATTTCCTTACGAGAATCCGAGACTACTAATTGGGAGTCACACTACGGTCATGTAATCACACTACGAACGTGGCAGTGAATAAAAACATGATGAAGTATTTTTCTATTCAGTCTCATTCACTACTGTATAAGGTAATATTACTGTATATTTTTTTATATTACCTGTTTTTTGAAATCATCTATAATAGATTTACAAAAAATACGATTTACTTAGGTACATAAATATACCGAGAAAATCTCTACTAGTTTTGAGTCACAGAGGGGCTCTTACCCATAATCGCACACAAGCGCGAAACTAGTAGAGCTTTTCTCAGTGTGTTTATGCGAGTAGACCATTATTTTTAATTACATTTACAAAAAAAGAACACATTGAGTATTTTCGTTTCTACATAGCACCCTGTAGCACATAACATTTAATTCACTAACTCCTATAGTTTAACACTAAAACCTTATAACATTCGTAGACAATATTTATTTTATTTTATTTATTTATATATCTTAAATAACTTTACATAGCCTCTCCATTTTTGGCAATTCATATTTACTGGGTGCTCAACACAACTGATTGGTTATACTTTATAACAATCCAAAAGATAATATGTTAAAAAAACTTAAACTTTAAATAAAAAGTTATCTTATATTCTTATACTATTATATAAATTGGAAGAGTTTGTTTTTTTGTTTGTATTGTTTGTTTGAACGCGCTAATCTCCGTAACTACAAGTCTGATTTCAATAATTCTTTTTGTGTTGGATAGCGCATTTATCGAGGGTAGTTATAGGCTATACTACATCACGCTACGACCAATAGGAGCTGAGCAGAGCGTGTGAAACCGCGCGGAAGTAGCTAGTTAAATATAATGTTTAAATGTTTGTAGGTAAATATTGTAACTAGTAGCGTGGCAACACCAATATTTTTTTAATTAAACTGTCAAATACCAAGCGGTCACCGGTGACCGCAACCTATTGTTCTATAATTGTGTCTACAAAACCGGTACTCGACGAGTTAATTAGCACAGTTAATTATAACTGCCTCGTTGGCCAAGTGGTCGTAAGTGCTACTGCTGGGCAAGGGGGCTCGATTCTCGGGTCGGGCAAAATATTACTGGGTTTTATAAAAAAAATATCAGAGTAGCACATAGTCTGGAATTGTGCCCAGTATATGGCAAGAGGCTCACCCTCTATTACATGGGACTCAAAACATAAATAGTGAAAAGTGGGTGTTACATTGTACAGTAGCATAATGTGTGCCTCTGCCTACCCCTTCGAGGATAAAAGACGTGATATTATGTTAGGTTATGTTAATTATGTTTCCGGTTTACTCACGTAACTGTTTGACGAGAAACTCGACTAGTTTCAAGCCATGCCAAGCCAACTTTACATTGTAACACCTATATCTATATACCTCTATATAAAAGAAAGTCGTGTTAGTTACACTATTAATAACTCAAGAATGGCTTAATCGATTTGGTTGATAATTGGTGGGCAGGTAGCTTAAAACCAGGAGACGGATATAGGATACTTTTTCATCGATTTTTTTTTTACTTTTTTCCGAAAATCACGAACGGCAACGGGAATGAACGGGATTGCGCGAACGAAGTCGCAGGCCTAGCAACAAGCTAGTTCTAGTTAAAAAGAAAAACAAAAAAATACATGATTTGGAAACTGTTGCATTGGTACTTGGCAGATTTTGAACCTGCACGCTTATGGATGGGGAGCGGGCACTATAACCTCCAAACCACCACGACGACATCACTACAAAATCATAAAAAAGTAATTTTTGAAGTTTTATGAATACGACAAAGGTTCATGTTACAAAAATACTAATACTAAGAACTCAAAATAAGCGAGTACTCTAACTAAGTATATCAAAAAACAACTATATTAAGTGAGCAATTATAAGGAATACCTCAGTCATATCTAACACACACGTTTTAAAAATTCATTCATACGTTACAAACATCATCATTACATTTTTCTATTCCCGACATTTATATTTAATAACTAGATATACTTCAAGTTGAAAATTCCATACATTATTCTTATTATTATATTTCATATAGTATTTCTCATATTTATAATCATAATTATGATGATAAAAAATAGGGTAAATGAATAAGTTTTATTTTAATGTCCGTCTGATAGATTATTTAAAAACATTGGACACGTATTTTGTATTTTCTTACTGAAAAGAATACTTCGTACGATGTATTGATTTTAAATATCTTGTGACGTCACTTTTGTGGTACTATATCTAAGTATTGTTTTCTTATATGATAAAATAAAAATATAATATATTTTTCCATTACCTAACTGACGGATTAATTAGATTTTTAATTTTCATAGCCTGTCACCATCCCTATTTATTTTGTATTGAATAAACCCTATTTTTATATAAACTCTGATTGAATCCGGTGGATATATTATGTATAACTGTATATAAACGGTCCATGAGAAGTCTAATAACTTTATTAGACTTCTCATAAAAGAGGGATTTGCCACAAAAATCTATCAATCCCATCAATTAATATTAGGTTACCTTATTTTTTAATATCTTACTATCATTACTTATTCTAAATCTGCATTGTTTAACAAATAGTAAATATTTTTGGGCCTAATAAATTGTGTGTATTGCGCCATAATTTGGAATATCGACTATTCCATGGAATATTAATATTAGAGTAGGTACTTTAAAAATAATCTAAAGTCTAAGATCTTACATAATTCATAATACAAATATTTATTTTAAAGGTGGTTTTTCTATCATGATCCGTACTTTCAAACTTCCATCTGCACCCTTGTTGTATGTACCCTGCACATTTTTTATATTATACAAAACATTGTAAGTAATGACTTAACGAATGAGTATTGACGTTTCATCTAAAACTAGTATAGGTACTATTACTATAAAAATGCTCGATAGGTTCAGTGGAAACATCTGACTATTTAAAACTAATAATACGTGAGGAACAAGTGATCATATCAAGCGATAAAATGCGAAATTTTATACTTTATTTGATAGTAAACTTGTGTCCTATGTCAGTGTGATATGCGACAAGCGTCCTACCTTATTTGTTTGATTTGTTATCTACACATCTAGAAGTCATTTTGTGACGTCATGCCTCCTTGACAACAAATAAGAGCAGACTGCCATTAATATAGTACACAACTAAGGTACTAGGCTCACCCCCTATTACATGGGACTTATAACATAAATAGTGAAAAGTGGGTGTTACATTGTACAGTGGCATTTATTGCCGTAATGTACACCTCTGCCTACCCCTTTGGGGATAAAAGGCGTGATGTTATGTATGTGCAACTAAGGTACTACTACTACTAAATTAATAGCGTTCGATCGATCTTTTTAGATACTCCGTTAACCGACTGTCTATGTACACTGCTCATCATAAACACGAATTGTAATGTGAAGGCTTGCATTTTGAGTAGAAACAAAAAAAATGTATTTCTGGAGGACCGTCACATCAGCCACTCCACATATGTCATACATACATATAAAATGTATCATTTAATCATACAATTATCGTCACTGCATTCATTTATTTATTCATATGCCTAATGTATTAAGAATATGAAACCACCTGGACAGTTAGCTTTAGTCAGTTGTTTTCACTGAATCTATTGAGGATATAACTTTGGCAAAGCACATGTTGAAGAAATATTTTGAACCATTTCCACTTTGGCGGTTTCATCCTTCGTTTAATCCATTCTACTCCTATTGTGTATCGCTATGCCGCTGGGTTGGGAAGATATTTTACTCTGCAAAGTAACTGCTTCTTGATTGGAATCCGATATGCTGCTGGTGTAACTCTTGGAAGATGGATTCCAGTGCATCTTCTCCATGTGAAGGTATCTGGGTAAAAGACAAAAGTATTAACACCATGATATATCCTCCATACCTCATGTTTTTTATATTTTCCGATGTAAAAATCAGATATAGTGACTATCCTTCTTACTATTTCTTTTTTACCACTGCTGATTTAAAATAGAATATTACTATTTAAACTTACCGTTTTACCAGTTTCTTAAGGATTTTCTTCTTGCATACAAATATCAGGAATATAGCCAGACCTATGAGGATGTTGTACGAATCAGTTATATACCACATCTTGAAGCCAGGATACAAGAAACTGATGATTTCCAATAACCAATTCAATCCCATCACTACTGACAGTTTGAGGTATACCATGAATCTGGAAAGAAAATAGTATAAAATTAGCTACTGAACATCCGAAAGAATATGGAGAAGACATCTGTAATTTTAAAGTTCCGGGATGCTCGCAATCGGCTCATATGGACGCGCTCTTAATCATTGATCTTTACCACACCATGTGTGGCTTAGGGTGCATCCACATCCATGAAATAAAATTAAAAGAACTTAGGTGGCCTCATATGTACACAGACTGCGCTACGGATAGTACAAATATTTTCGTCGTAGCATGCTACGACGTAGCGTTCGTAGTATGAAAAGTTGTAGAAGCGCTACAATATTGTTTATTTATGAATTTTAAACTATTTTTTACGTTAAATTTAAGATATTCTTAGAACATCTTTCTATTGAAAACTGATTAATGGCAGATTTTTTTTATATTTTATGGGCCTACAATTGACCACTATCTCGCCCGGTGGTAAGCAATGATGCGGTCTACGATGGAGCACATCATTCCATAAGCAACTTATTCACACCTTGAAGACACCCAGGTTATACTCTTCAGGAAATCAGACTCTGTCAAAGAATTCCACTCCTTAGCAGTGCACATGGAAGCTTGATTTTGCTTGATTGCGCTTCGTGCGTGTAGGTGGGACATCTTCTACGAATCGGTGACACTTCGCCGATTGTCTTGTGGTACGATGATGGAAAGGACTAGAGGAATCAAGTTGTGCAATTCCTCGCACATTCACAGAAATGAATCCGGTAGAAAACCGAAAGGCTTGCAACCTTACGGCAGATATATAAAACCAGCATGTGAACGCGATGTCACTGACCTTTGCCTGTGAGTACGATGTGCCTGTGGCGTACCAGCTGCGGCTGTATCAAGCATAGCAGTTCCGCGACTTAGCCTCCAAATGTTGAATGCAGTCATGAGGTAGAACATCCAATTGCAAAGAATAAGAATCAACATTGGCATGTACAGGTACAGCAGTTTCTCACCACCTGTAACAATTTAGTAACAACTGCTTATACAAGAACTTTGTATTACTATTTTACAACTCTCTCGGTAGCCGACTCGTCGCAAGAGCGACTGTCGAGTAAACTAGGTTTTGATTTTCGGGTCGTGTAAAGTCTATTGGTTCGGGTCGATTTATCGAAAATTTTTCATTTTTAACATGGAATCTGAAAATCTGAAGTGTGAAAAGAATGATATACCCACATACATTATAAGTGAGTCTATAGAACGTATGTGCACATCTCTACTCTACCCTTTGACAATTAAAAGTCGGAACATAAAAATAAACAGTGTATTTGTGCCAATGTTGGCCACTTAAGGTGTGGCTTTTGTTTTTGTATGTTACCTTCAAGGAAGCAGCCATGACTGGGTATGTGGGGAGTCACGAACCACGACATATGCCTCATGTCGACCGAGTTGAGGACACCGAGAGCTATAGTCATGGCCAACGGCAGTCCCCACGCGTATAGACAATACATCATGAACTTGAACCGTTCTCCACGACGATGGATTGGGCGGGCTTTAGCGTAACCTCTGAAATAATATAGAGTTGGTTATGGTCGCAACATCTTGAAGTTTTCAAATTAATAAGTCGTTTCTGCCGCGGCTGCGTCTGGCGAAATGTGTCTAAGTAGACATGTATTTTCTTTAAATTATACACGTTTAAGTTGAAAAAAGACAAATAAGTACATCTGTGAAAACCGCATTCGGATCGGATCATTAGTTTTCACGTGATGCGCGCACAAACATACCTCTACAGACAGATACATACAGCGAAAAATGTCGATGTCACATTTTTTTTATACTTTCAATGAAAGTACAGAATTTACACTTCTACAGTTTTATTATATGTAGGTATAAATTGTGTTTTCGGCCTTACTCGTGTAACTGTATTTTATTGACATTTTGTTATCAACAGCTGTATCGTGGCAGGTAACAATGCATTGATCTCTCGTAATCTTCCCTTAGTTATCGAAGAAGCCGAAAAAGAGACGCTTACTAAGCAGAAACCGGGCACCAAGGCTCCGTGGTAAACTTAAAACTTTTTAAACTGCGATGTAACAATATGTTTGCTATACGTGCATATTATGTTACGGCGAACTAATAATCATCGTAAAACATTGTTAGTTGCATCATTTCAATTTTAGCTCAAAGAACCTTACCTGAAGGTCCACCAAATATCATATGACATCACGCTCATCCAACAGAAACTCGCCAGAAAGAAGAAGTAGATGGAAAAAGCTGAAAAAAAAAATGAAATATTACAAATCTGAAGTGTATACAAATGTACCGATGTACTATTGCAAATTATCGGATCTAGTTGTAGTAATTATGTGATGCTAAATTTTTTTGCATACAGGAAAGAATAATAATAAAGTCAAATACATGCCTTAATGACGTCATCAAGTCCACCTTATATGGTTGTGAATTAAGGGATTTAAATAAAAAAAAATGGTTCAATTAGACCAGGAAGGCACTTTTAAACGTCAAAACAAAATATTTAAATATTAAAAATGTCGGTCTGTCGGTCAGTCCTCTAGTGAAGCTATTAAAAAGCAGTAACTATTCATCGTTTATGGAAAGATGACTTCAATAAAGTTAAGTCTACTTTGTAATTCTATCAAATTGCTTCTATGACTACTTACTTAATCCCACGCAAGTGTTCGCGGGGTGAATTTTGATCTGAATGATGGCCAAAAGTAAGAAGGCCATGAACAGACTGGCGACGTAGGCCATTAATATTAGCCCACATAGGTTCTGGAGTTCAGGTAACAAGAAGTATACTATCAGCACCAACAGCATGAAGAAGCAGGATACCAGTGTAGCTGTAGACAAATTAAATTGTTTAATTAACGTAATTAAGTTCTGTTCCTCCTCTGTGCCGTGGATACGATTTCTGGATGGGTAAAGTATCATTAGGATATTGTCAGTTATTAAATTTTTGGTGACTTCATGTCAAACTACTGAACAGTATCTAGTAGACATCTTTAAATTAGGAGAGAGGGCATTCAATAGAAAAACCGATAGAACAAAAAGAAATAATAATAAAGGAAATCGTTGAGATGAGAAAAGCGAAGATATTGTATCTGTGGTTTACACAAGTGTATTGATAGCAAGGTAAGAAGGGTAAATCTAGGAAGGAGAATAAAGTAGGAAAAGCCCCTTAGCTCCCTAGCCTGCCGAATGGGCAATTCATCTATTACAACAGATACATGACCGTATTTGCTTAGGTTGAAACGATTCGAATTCTAGGTTATAAAATTCATTAGTAACGAGTAGGTGTTAAAATGACAAATGTATTTTTCTTTGACTTTACCACAAGCCTTAGCGTGAGTCTATTATATTGTACCGACTTCGTTCTCGAGACAAACAGATTGTTCATTCCACGTAACGAGTTATTACAAAGAAAATTGAAAATCCCGCCTATACCTGGAATAGACTCAGTTTCTGTGTATTAGTAATTAATAACTATAACTACATATACGTGTTAATTACTTTGAGGAATAAATTGTACGACTACAAAATTCTAGTGATTGACATTTGTATTATTGTTAAATTATTATATTTTACAATTTACTAATATAGAAATAACCTTATCAGGGTATGATTCATTTTCTCTGTGGTCATGTACTGTATTAATTGAATGATTCAATTGTTTTTAACCTATTTATTTTCTTTGCACCTAAGTAAAATTCCACTTGGGATATAAGTGTTCACAATATGAACAAAATAAGTATTTGCTTGCAACATCGGTGGAATCTCGAATCTCATCTTCTCAATGTGGAAGATTGTAGTAGAGTTACTTTGTCCGAGGTAGACAAAGTAACTCCATTTGTAGACCCTTTCTATTGTATCCTTCAAGCGGTTAAATACATAAAAATAAATATTATTACTTTATATCAATAAACACAATGTTGCCTGCAATAAACTGGACAATAAATAGGTAGTATCGCCAGCGTCGCCGTCTGGTAATTTATTTTTAAACCCGTATTTTAAATTTTCTTACGGAAACAAATACATCTAACGATATATTGACTAGGAATATCGCGTGACGTCACTTTTGTGTACGTTTTATACTCTAAAATGACGTAACCAGCTCCCACTCATAAACTTTGATTCGTGTTATGGAAATATTTTTTTGTTATACGACAAAATAAAAAAATAAGTGTCTAACATTTTTTCATTACGTACGGGTTAATTACGATTTTTAATTTTCTTAGCCTGTCATCAATCCTATTGTCATCACTTATATTCTTCCTCAGGTTCAGTAAGAGCCGACTGAGGGACTACACATTTTAAACAGACAGAGACCGGCTTTTTTTTTAAGGGGGGAAAATCATTGAATGACTGCTCCCGCCTGGCTGAGGCGGGAGGGAGTGTCAGACTCTTACTGACTAAAAACCACCCCGTTCCTTCTCCTGCACGTCGAGCCGGAGCCCCGGTTACCCGTTAGGTTCTCCGCGACCGTTAGACCGGGTAGGGCTAGCTGATAAACCATAAACCTTTTAAATTGCGATCTTCGATATCATCACCAACCCGTCTGTATAGAAGAAGGTTATCGTCCAGCAGTCGACTTTCACTAGCTGTAGATGTTAAGTCATCACCATATTTTGATAGGGACTAGGCACTTAGGATGTTCGTGCTTTCTACCAGGATCGTTTTCGTGTATTTGTTAAGAGAAAGCGTTACTTAAAAGAATATGTATTGTCCAAACAGTACTCACCTGTATATACTGAGAAAAGCTCTACTAGTCTCAAATTGAGATATCGTCGTGACCGCGCACGCTGCTCATGAGGAAGAACCCCTCGGTGGTTCGAAACTAGTAGAGCTTTTCTCAGTATATCCACGTAGGTAACCTGCCATTTTTAGTTAATTTAGTACTTACCACTGGTTAAGTATATGCTGCTTTTTGGTGTGTCTTGGCTACTTGGTAGAGTTATCCAGTATCCAAGTTTTGTCATATTCCTCTTCTCAAAAAATCTGTAGTCGATACAAAAGTTTGAGGGTGGTATCTCAGTCCATCGGTTGTAGGAATTGGGAAGCTCCCATTCAAGTCCCCCATTCTATAAGAATAACAAATAATACACTGTTATCTAAATATCTACTACACATGGTATATGATGCTCGAGTACTCGTAAATACGATTGCTGAGCAAAAGTTTTTGATTTCGGCGCAGAACAAAGGGTTTTTGATTGAAAATTATCAGACATTGGATGGAGTTTGGAATTGTAATGCAATAGGATCGTCTCGTCAGTGACATATGAGTCATAACTTGCGAAAAGTCTGTTACATTATATCCTGAGATTTAGTACTTTACTGGCATTCCTGCCTACCCCCATGGGAGACAGGCGTAAGGTTATGTATCTACATATAATGCGGCGGATTAATTTTTAATTAATAATATTATTATATGTCTGATAGTACTTCCGCAAGGTCCTCAAACGCAAAAAAAGTAATGACCGAAAATGCGTTTCTGCATCTGCTAACGCTTGCGTTGTTTTACGTCGGTGTTCTGTGAGGCCGTGGTATTACTTCGTTTGAGCCGGCCCATTCGTGCGTTCGTCGAAGCATGGCTCTCCCTCACTTGACGTGCGACATTATTTATGGTGTGAATGGTATGTAGGTATGGTGAGGCCACCTCCTTATCATTTACCAGTATTGGTTAATTTTAAACTGTCAAACACCAAGCGGTCACCGGTGACCGCAACCTATTGTTCTATAATTGTGTCTGCAAAACCGGTACTCGACGAGTTAACTAACACAATGGTGTACATAATTTTATTATATTTCAATAACTGGAACAGGAAATAACAATACAAAAAGAAATAAAAAACACACTTCGCCGGTTGCATTAATAGGAAAACATTACATTAATTTTCTGGAACAATGTATTCCCCCTGTGAACACCACTGTTCAATTGTTTTCCGTAAAGTTTTACCTTCAAAGTGAAGCTCTTCACTTACTTGTGGCCTATTCCTATTATTGTATTCTAGGGTTAGTACAACGAGATAGTACCTATTTGGAGCATATCTTGAACTACATACTAAGACTTGGTACTCCAATCTAACAGTCTATATCTATTCAATATTCATGTAAATAACAATAATGTCAAGTCATACCACTAATTAATTTAATAACAACTTTATCCTGTTTATTCCAACAACTTCTCATAATATTATGTGGTTATTCGTATGAAAATATATATTAATTTTAAGGGGATATCAAGTAGGAAAATAAACACATTTATTGAATTATAAGCATACAAAATTTATGGATAAATAATAATATTATTCATGAACATATTACAATTATTATAAAAGGATATTGGTTTCACGCGCTTGATTATGCGCGGCTGAGTATTTATTTATTTAGCTGTGCTTTGTCTAGTGGTTTCATCAATACATAGTATAAAACAAAGTCGCTTTCGCTGTATGTCCGTATGTATGCTTAGATCTTTAAAACTACGCAACGGATTTTGATGCGGTTTTTTTAATAGATAGAGTGATTCTTAAGGAAGGTTTGTATGTATAATACATGCATATTGCACCCGTGCGAAGCCGGGGCGGGTCGCTAGTTATATATAAATAAGCTTTTGCCAGCTTCACCCACGACCACTGGGTCGTTGGTGTTAGAAGGCTATGTATAATTCTAGATCGTAATCTAGCCCTGTATCAAATTTCATACCAATCCCTTCAGCCGTATTTTTTTTTATTACGTGACAATAACAATCATTTACAAAAACTCACAAACGGATAACGGACGCATATATTCCATTGGGGTAGTTAGTGATAATGGATCGACCATAACATCTAAAAATGTAAACGATAGGATTCTGGCATAAAGCGTAGGATACAATAGGGGACCAATGTCCCACGACTTGTATCGGCAACATGTCAAGCGAAGCCTGCCGATTTTGCCTGACGTATTATAAGGCGACGACGTGCGCCTTATGTCAACAGCGATGTGTGACAGAAGACATGTCGACCAAAGTCCGGCAACGTCATGCTACTTCACCCAACGTAGCTGGCGACGCGTATCGCAGGACATTTGTATTTTTTTTTTGAGGGGAGAAAATCATCCAATGGCTTCTCCCGCCCGGGTGAGGCGAGAAGAAGTGTCAGACTGTTACTGACTAAAAACCACCCCGTCCCTACTCCTGCACTTCGAGCCGGAGCCCCGGTAACCTTTTAAGTTCTCCACGGCTGGTCTCCGAGCCGTACTTTGTCCCGCCCAGGGATCACTGGGTGGCAGACTCGGACGGCTCGGTGACCATCATCTCGTCGGCCGCCGCCGGTACCCCGACTCTTGAGGCTGCTCAAAGAGGCCGGGGTTGTGTCGCAGCACGGTTCGGAGAGCTCGCTGTGGTGGGCGTGTACTTCTCTCCGAACCGAACTCTCGCCGAGTTCCACAACTCCTTGAGGGAGTTGGTCACCGTCGTCGTCGGGTTCCGTTCCCTCCCCGTGCTCGTCCTCGGGGACTTCAATGCCAAAAACTTGGCTTGGGGTTCCCGGTTCACCGACGTCCGGGGTAGGATGGTGGAAGACTGGGCCCTTGAGACAGGCCTAGTCGTCCTGAACCGGGGTTCTGTCCCCACGTGCGTGCGGATGCAGGGCGAGTCGGTGGTGGACATTTCGTTCGCCAGCCCTGCTCTGTCACCGCGTATCGTTGACTGGCGTGTCATGGAGGAGGTGGAGACGTACTCCGACCACCGGTATATCCGGTTCGACGTCTCCGCCGAGTCCGCAGACCCGCCGGTCAGATAGGCCCCATGTGGCCCGCGTTGGGCGCTGAAACAGCTGGACCGGGAGCTGCTCCTGGAAGCCGCCATCGGACAGGCCCGGTCAGACCTGCCGACATAGACGATGAGGCCAAGTGGCTCCAGGACGCCATGTCCAGGATTTGTGACGTGGCGATGCCCCGGATCCGATCGAGGCAGCAAAAGCGCCAGGTGTACTGGTGGTCGCAAGAGCTGGCAGCTCTACACAAGGCGTGCATTGCTGCGCGACGCCAGTACACTAGGCACCGCAGGCGCCGCATCCGTCCTCCGAATGCGGAGTTGTACGAGGGATACAGGGCGGCCAAGGCCCTCCTCAAGTTGGAGATATTGCGGGCCAAGGAGGAGGCCCGTTGAGAGATGCTGGGGACTCTGGACAGAGATCCGCGGGGACGCCCGTACCGGATGGTACGCGACAAGCTCCGCGCTTGGGCTCTCCCGCTCACCCAGAGAAATAAAAAAAAGAAAATCCTAGTGTGGGGCAACGTCTTAAAAAAAATGTCTTCTAAAACAGTTCAACATTAAACTTAATTGATCGACTCAGAATAGGTACGGAAGTGCAAAAATTATTTAGATAACAAGCTTTACCGAATCCGGTCTAGCGGTTTTGAAGTTAGAGACGTAACCGACAAACGAACATATTTTTAATAAGTATGTAAGTAAATACTCGGAATGGGATGAGCAATATGTTTTTAGAATTATTAAACGTGACCCACGTACGCCGTTGTCAATTTTTATATAATGAACAATACAATTTTTAGCGAACTGATTTTAGAACTATCATAAATAAAGGGGGCAGGAGACTGATTCGTTTATTTGTCTGCATAGAATGGGCTCCAAAACAAATGGACTGATTTTCGGGGAATAATATAGCTTTTGTATTTCAATGTGTATACATATAATGAAGCTAAGATTCGGGAATACTTAAATTTTATAGTTTAAGTGTAAGAGAGCCATGCTTCGGCACGAATGGGCCGGCTTGACCGGAGTGATAGCACGGCCGAGCAGAAAATCGACGTGAAGCAACGCTTGCGTTGTGTTTCGTCGTGTGAGTGAGGTTACCGTAGGCCCAATTTCCCTCCCCTTCCCCAATCTCCCGAATTCCTGAATCCTCAACGATCCTCAAACTCCTAATCCCCAAAAGGCCGGCAACGCACTTGTAACGCCTCTGGTGTTCCAGGTTTCCATGGGCGACGCTGATTGCTTACCATCAGGTGATCCGTCGGCTCGTTTACTGGCTTATGCAAAAAAAAATATATATATAACAGAACACGTTCTAATAGTTTTCAGAATCTTCATCTGTTTATCTGTTTAATTGCGCGCGCATCACGCAAAAACGGAGCCACGGATGACGGCATGGTTGGTGCGAAGGCTGGACAATCGACTGCCGCGCAACGTGTCGCGGGTTCAATTCCAGCACGGAGCAACTCTTTGTGTGATCCACAAATTGTTGTTCTGGGTCTGGGTGTTATGTATGTGAACTTGTAGGTATGTTTTCCATTTCCATTTTCCATACATGATGGCGTGTAGCTCACGTTATAACGTCACATCCTTATCAAGTCGTATTATCTTTATCATATTGTAAAACTCAAGAGTTTGTTTGTTTATATTTTGTTTAAACGCGCTAATCTCAGCAAGTACGTGTCCGATTTACAAAAATATTATTCTGTTGGATAGTCCATTTATCGGAGAAGGCTATAATTATACTAAATAGAACTTTACATTAATGTGTTGGTTCCGAGCAGAGCGGTTGAAACCGTGCGGAATAGGTAGTAATAATATAAATTTTACTAATACAATTTTTTTATAATAACTATCGTGAGATATACTAAATTAAGTAAAATCGCGGGTTACTCACACGAATACACTTAGAAAAGCTCTACTAGTTTAGTACTCGCTGCTCATGAGGAAGAACCCCTCTGTGGTTCGAAACTAGTAGAGCTTTTCTCAGTGTATTCGCGTGAGTAACCCGCGATTTTAGTTAATTTAGTATATTACTTTTTTGTTTTATAGTTTTTTTTTTCTCTGACTGCGTAATTGTCCGAGTGGTCGAAAGTGCGACTGAGTTGATAGCAGAAGCACATTAAAGAGAAAAAAAAACATAACATAACATAACATCACGCCTTTTATCCCCGAAGGGGTAGGCAGAGGTGCCCATTACGGCACTTATTGCCACTGTACAAAGTAACACCCACTTTTTCCCTATTTATGTTATGAGTCTCATGTAATAGGGCCTATTGCCTTATACCGGGAACAATTCCAGACTCCGTGCTACTTTAAAGAATTTAAAAAAACCCAGTAATACTTTGCCCGACCCTGGAATTGAACGGCACGAGACTTCTTGAACGGCAGTCGCACTTGCGACCAATCGGCTAATGAGACAGTCACGTAACATGATCTTCGCATTTTTTAGAGGATGTAATTTTGCTTACTTATTTTAAGATAACGCGTGGAGGATCAATAGAAACTTAACTTCAAGTTTGTGGAGTCCTTGTCCCTCGGCCGCCTTCAGTGACCAGTAGATCACGGTCTCGCATCTTTAGGTACATTTCAGGACCACCATATGATAAAATTTGATGACCACACTGATAAAATTTGTCGGTATATGGTGGGTATTTAATATCATTTTTTGGGTATTTTATCATACTGACCACTACTATGACCGCTAACTTAGATTGCTACAGTATGTGAATAAAAAATCAGAAGTAGATACTTATTATAAATATATAAAAGAATACCTAATTCTTTTATATTTGATGGGCCGGCGTCACTATCTCGCCTGGTGGTAATCGATATATCTCACATCACACCGGCGAGAAACAAAGGTTCTGTTATATTTTCCGTGTAAGTCAGCTTACCGAAGGTCTAATCATGAGGGAGACCCTCGTTCTTAATCCCCAAATCCAGTATACCCCATTCCTAAATGTCAAATGCGATGATAATCTCGTCCGCAATAAACCGTTCATGGAGCATTGGCTTTAGAATTTAAAAATTGTAAAGTTGATCATCAACGGCACATCACTAGTATCGTTTCCTTACCGTCTTCAAAAGAAGGTAGAGGTACTATGTTCGAATGATTGTGTTTTTTTGTTTGTTCACAGATTACTCCGCCATTTGAAGAGATTTCCAAAATGTTTGTGGGTCGTTCTCAAAAAAGTGGCTCAGATCGAATTAATTTGTCAATTTCAAAAAATATTTAAAATGTCGAGTTTTTTTTATATAAATCTATTGGCAGTGTTTTACTGAAACAGAATTAATGAAAGGGAAGCAGATTAACTGGAAATTGAGTGAAATAGAGCCTTCCAAAAAAGTGACCTCACAGGTTAAAGAGGTTTTGTACAGGTTATTGAGAAAACGATATCAGGTTAAATAGAAATAGACAGGTTACAGAAAAAAGCAATGCAATTATGCAAAATCTGCGTTTATTTTATCACATAAACTAACAAAAATAACGGTTTTAATAATAATAATAATAATTCACAACTTCCTGACGTGAATTAAACATTAATTTAAACATTTACGGATACAGACACAAATAGAATAGCTGTGCTATATTTTCATAATCTAAAGTAAAATTTAATCAGTCTAAAACAATTAGCAATTTTATTATTATTATAAAAAAAAAACATAAACATTATGATAAACATGTCTTTTGTTTTTCAACTAGAACAAACTAGGTAAATTTTCTCATAACTAAATTACAGTGAAACCTGGTTAAGTGAGACATCAAGGGACCTGCAATGTCGTTTTACTTATAGAGGTATTCCACTTACCCAGTGTCTCAGATATACAGGTATAAATAAATATCTGTCTCATTTACAGAGAGTTCCATTAATAGAGGTGGACTTGGAAATATGTGGACATGGGGAATTTGTGGGTAGAATAAAAATGATTAAACAAACAATATTATCTTAGTTACAGAGGTTTATACATATAAAATTTACTCGCTGTCTCAGTTATAGAGGTAACTATGATGATAAATCGAAAGAACAAATCCCAGATATAGAGGTTTACCTCGTCCCACTAACACAGGTAATTCAGTGCCAAAGTGTTGGGACCTCAGCATGAGTTCCACTTATTGAGGTTTCGCACTTATCCAGGTCCCACTTAACCAAGTTTCACTGTATATGCCAATCAGTCTTAAACCACCTCTCAATGGTAATTCTAAAAGTACTAAGTGCTTATAATTTCTTCTTATGACTTAAAATTTGTCAGTAAAATGTCTGCAATAAATGAACGGGGCGATTGCAGTTCTGAACAACCATTTCTATGAGACCGATTCTGTAACGGAGATAAAAACGTCATAATTGTGATCTCCATACATTTAAGTCAACAAAAATGTGTCGAGAACTTAATCGCTTTTTCACAAGCTCAGAGTTGGTCCCAATGAAACAGTTGTTCAGATTGATGAGTGCAATGATTCCTTCTATTTGTTACAGATATTTTTGAACACCTTATGTAAACAATCATAAATAAAATAGAAAATAGTTAATAGTTAAAAAATAGAGCAGTCCGAATCATTAACATATCTATAATATTCTTAAAAGAATTCAACGGGAACACAGTCACTTTCGCAGGCCCTTCATCTATTATCTTATCTAATGTACTTCTTTGGAGTACTTCCGGAGGTAATTTCATTTCAGACAAAACTGAAAACGATGTCGATATATAAAGAATACTTACTAATTCTGGTGGAATTAGATTATCTGCTACATTCCTACTAGAGGTAACAATGCTATCTTCATCAGAGTCAAAACAATTGCCTAAAGTTCGAGATGAAGTTATAGCAGACGGTCTTTTTCTTGGCCATCTGGGTAGGGTATTGCTGGTGAGATAACTTCCTCTGTAATAACTCGGTGAAAACCCAGATGTATAAAGTGTTTACAGAATTCGACGTCAGTTAAACAGGTTTCTTTTGTACGACTAAGCTGTCTTAACACTACCATTTCTGGCTTTGCATTACTCCATAGAATTTGGTTAATTTTCTGTGTTCCTTTAAATGGTAGTAAAGTATTTGGTAAAGGCAAAACTTTTTCAAAAAGTCTAAAAAATTGTGTAAAGTTTCGAGATCCTGCTCATCATTTCAATGGCTCACACTTAAATCAGCAGGACGTTTTAATACGGCCCCAACTCCATCTGGAGCTCCTTTACTGTGAACAGATTCAGAGTAGATCCATTTTAAAGCTGTGATACCAAAGTATATTTTTATAAATTTTATAGTAACTATGTCGACGACTATGTATTTCGATATTGAGTAAGCGCATTTATAATTTTCCAAGTAATCGACGTGAATAACAGCTTCGTCATATTTTAACCGTTCTTTAGACCTAGAATTCGATCTAGTCATTCTTCTACTTTGATAAAAGCTTCGCGGAAGTTCACTATCACTATTGTTCTCTAAGATCACTAATGTATTACTAATAGCTATATTACTAATCAAAATTAAATCTTGTTTTTATGTTGATAGGTTTTAGCATCTTATCGCCCCTTTTTTCTTAACGGTTTTAATCCCTTGGTGTTAAATTATTTACAAATACTACTTTTCCTTCATTTTTTCGTTTCTATATTATTCTATATTTTTTTTATATTTTTCCTTGTATTTTGCGTATAGTTCTGAATCATTTTTAATATTTTCATATCCCTTTTTTTCAAGTTGTCTTTTTCACGCTAAAGTATCTTCTCTCTTCTTATTTCTTGGGATTTTACCTTTGAAAGCAGGAAAAAATAGATTAAACCTTGTCTAGCTGACCTAACTAAAAAACCTAAATAGTAATAATAATTTATTATATCATTAAAAGAAAACCAAATTTATTTATTCAAAGAGTAATAAAAATTATTTTAACTCATCAATTAACTCAAATATATAACTAGTAAGGATATTAAGTGTTAATACCTAAGTAATTTATAACTGAATTTCACGAGTAAAATGAATTTGTATTAAAAAATGGGTAATGTATCTTTAACCTGTTAGCAATCTCTTTAACCTGTGCATTTTCAACAGGGTAAAGACACACAGGTTATTGAGGAAACGTAGGTTAAAATGCGATACCAACAAAACGGTTAGTTTTTTTTAAGTATCACTTATAGAATCATATACAGGCACCTATTGACACATTTTAGAATAAAACATTTCGAAGCGATTAACATACAAACAAAAATAAATAGGTCAGATAATAGACAACATACCTGTTACAAAATCCGATTGCGATGTATCGATGTATTTTCTAAGAAAACAAACACATACTGATCGCTTCTTTCTTTGACAACAGGTAGCCCGATAGTGTCGGCCCATTTCGCGCTGGGATAGCGTGTTGCTAACGTTATAGTCTGTGGGTAATGGTCAGTAGTGTGCAACACCAGGTTGTGGAGAAAAAGTCTCTGGACACAATTTGGGAATAAATATCTCAAGAACTATATGTGTTTACGTGCAGCAATCAAAATCACGTTAAAACAATCATATAACGAATTGTGTTTTATTTTATTTAAGTGCTTATTGATAGGTATTAATTTTTTATTTCACCTCAAAGTCAGACACATTGTGTTTGGACACGACAAGTTACTGAGAAAATGGCATTACAATTTTTATTTTTCTTAAATGTATTACTCTAAACTTCTCATTTTCACTTGGCCTTAATGTATAAAGTCTCTTTATGTATAATTTTGTACAGAAAAGATCAGTAGCCCTAATAAAAAATACTCGTATCTACTAAAAACTGGCTGACAGGTTACTGTGCCACTTTTTTGAGAACTACCCTTGTTTTGTTCGAAAGTTTATACTTCGGATAGTCCCATTTTAATCAGGCCAGGATCTGATTATGGAATCCAAGGGAAACCGAGGGGATCTTTCGAAAATTGTAAAGGCGAGTCATTACGCAAGGCGCGTTATGTTTTTCAGCAAAAAAATTAAACAGTACAATTTGATGAGGGTCTGCAGTCTGCAGTCGACCTGATAATAGAGCCGACTTTTTGTTTGTTTTTAGTTTTGGGTTTTTTAAACATAGTTTTTATTTATTTAATTTCTTTTAATGTAATGTACGTAATTTTTACTACACAAAATGAATTTTTTCGGATTAGACATTTTTTATTTGAATGATGCCTGCATTATGTCCAAAAAAACAGGAGTTACTTTACATATGCTACAGGGCATGCAGCTGGACAAGAATTTCTCACCGATTAGGATCCACCAACTTACCTCAGTAATGTAGAGGTTGATGCCTGGCATCGGCCCAATATCCGCTGCTGCACCACGAAAGGCCTGTTCTGCAAACTTGTGCGGCTTAAGGCGAAATACGTCATTAAAGTTGCCAACATATTCAATCCTCTTGTCATACACTCTTAAATCTGAGGGGAATGTTATAGTGCGGTTCGCAAGGATGCATGCTTTCTTGGTGGACACGATGTAATTTTCTGGGCAGCATTTGTTAATGTAACTGTATGGCGTCTTGGCTACCGTAAACGCAAAAAGTAGGGGTAACAGGATCCACTCGCGGTACATAGTCACGTCTACTCACAACGACGTATAAATGAATTGTATTTATTTTTGACTTCCTTTAACTTTGATTACGGCTGTTGTACTTCTGTTCAGACATTATGATATACAGAATGGTGTTTTTTTCCTTGTATGTATGCGTAAATGTGACGCAACGATTTTATAAAAAAGAGTAAGTAGGTAGAATTTTGTACTTAACCACCGTTTGAGTGGATAGGAAACATAATTTTCAACATGCGGTGAAGGGAAGAGTGTTTAATGTTCCTGACTCGCCTTCTAAATTAAAAATAACGAATGTGAATTTTGGAACGAGTAGAAGCACTTATATTGACGAATAGTTCTATTTTGACTTTGGAAAAGATTGGTGATTTGTGATCACTGTTTATTCCTTCTCTGTATGAAAACTGAGAAGTCTTCTTTGCTCAGTAGTGGGTCAGTTGTTGTAAGCTGATGATAACGATTACTTATTTATCACTAATTTGTTTTAGTAGACACCTCATTAAACTGTCAAACACCAAGCGGTCACCGGTGACCGGAACCTATTGTTCTATAATTGTGTCGACAAAACCGGTACTCGACGAGTTAAATAACTATAGACTTCCCTCCCTCAATTCCTAAGTCTTTAAACGAGAATTCTGAAACGTTAAAACATAATAACGTAACATCATCACATCACGCCTTTTATCCCCGAAGGGGTAGGCAGAGGTGCACATTACGGCACTTAACTCGTCGAGTACCGTCATTATAGACACAATTATAGAACAATAGGTTGCGGTCACCGGTGACCGCTTGGTGTTTGACAGTTTAATGCCACTGTATAATGTAACACCCACTTTTCACTATTTATGTTATGAGTCCCATGTAATAGGGGGTGAGCCTATTGCCATATACAGGGCACAATTCCAGACACCGTGCTTACTATTGAGAATTTAAAAAACTCAATAATACTTTGCTCGACCCCGGTTCGAATCCGAGACCCCTTGCCCAGAAGTCGCACTTACGACCACTCGGCCAAGGAGGCAGTCGTTAAAATATCAAAAACATTTTACCCGACTTGGGTAATGTGCAGTAGCCTCGTTTACGACAGATGCTTGTTTCCAATCACATATCATATCGCATCCTGTACATGAAATATCGCATTGATAATAATGCTTATCAGAGATAACAGGTACTCGGTGGTTCTTAGAATAAATGCACGTCTATGTCTTTATGAAGAAATATTTTTATATTTCGGGTAATAACCTCCGAGTGCATTTCGACCTTTCTTTCTTTTATAGAAGCTGCGGGTAGATGAGAAATCAGGAATTTTAATTCATTGCACACTAATTGTTATGAAAAAGGTAAGTCCTAATAAAAGTCCAAAAAAAAAAAATAAAAAAAAAGGATGAGTTCCGGCGCGATCTCATGGCGGAATGGCAGCAACGACTGTCGCAACCGAGGGCTGGGCTCGCTGCTATCGCAGCGGTAAGTCCCCTCTTTGAGGAGTGGCTTGAGAGACGCTACGGCGTCCTCACCTACCGCCTGACGCAGGTGCTCACCGGACATGGGAGTTTCGGGAGGTACCTGTGTCTGATGGCGCGGGAGGAAACGTCTGGGTGTCATCACTGCGAGGACCGCCCTGAGGACACGGTGGAACACACTGTAGCGGAATGCCCTGCGTGGGCTGAGCACCGCCGTGCCCTCAGGTCGATCAGGGATCGGCGATGGTGACCTCTCGCGTCCGGGCCTAGTGCAGGCCATGATGCGGAGCGAGGGGGACTGGGATGCCGTCTCCTCCATTTGCGAAGCAGTCATGATAGCTAAGGAGGAGGTAGGACGCGTGAGGCAGCGAAGCGCTGCCTCCTCGCAACCCAACCATCGCGAAGGACACACCGGGCGTCGGGGATCGCGGGACGAGTCGGACGAGTCGGGGGGGACCCGACTCACCCAGGCGGAAGCAGTCATTCGATGATTTTCCCCCCTTAAAAAAAAGTCCTAATAAAAGTACACAAGGGCACATGTTACTACGTACTATACGTAGGATACTACGGGTGGATTCATCACACCCGTACTTAAGTCTTCTCGAGTTCTCAAGAGTGAATAATGACATTTTCTGTATTAATACATCGTTTATGACCTCCTGTGGCCTGAAAAAATAAGTAAGTATTTTGTGTGCCGTAATGAGGTACATTTTTTTTAATGTTGCCCCACTCTAGAATTTCTCCTGTGTCGTGGGTACGTTTGCAAACATACAATTTCATGTGCACCCAAACTGTTGTTGGTCACATATAATAGGGGGTGAGCCTATTGATGGCAATAGGTGCCCGGTATATGCACAATTCCAGACACCGTGCTACTACTGACAATGTTTTTAAAAACCCAGTAATACTTTGCCCGACCCGGGATTGTAACTCATACACCCTGTATAAAGTTAAAATAATTTTATTAATAGAAACAAGGAAAATTAAAAAAATAAGGTTTACAGTTCATACAAATTTACCTCACGTCTTATAACAATGTAAGTATCTAAAAAAAGATAAACTGTAACAAAAATATGGCACAACTACTTCTTAACTTTATTTTAAAACGTTTTCTTTCCACGCGGTCAATATATTTCTGGATCTTGGATTCCATACCATGCATGCATACTCCAGCTGGCTCGTCAGGAGCCAGCTGGTATAAGTGCAATATGTATAGTATTTTAAGGGTCTTTGCATCAGTGAAATTTTTTGTAAGGCGCATTATAAATCCAAACAATTTAGAGGGTTTTTTGACGATTGCATCGATATGTGCATCGAAAAACAATTTACTGTCTTGATGGACTCCTAAGTCACGGATAGTAGTGCACCTTGGTAAGGGCTGATCCGTTAGAGTATAATTAGTGATATGGACATTGCGCTTTCTAGTGTAACTGACTACGGAACTGTTACGGAGTGGTTTTAGAGTATTTAAAAGAAACTTGATTTATTCACTTAAAAGATATTTAATGTCCAAAATACAGAATAGATAACTATCCACAATGACGTTCAAATCCACACTGACTGCAAAGCATTCCATAGGAAAAAACCCGACATAGTAAGAATGCCAACTCAGATACACGTTGTGAACAAACGTGAAAGAATAGCGTTGTCATCGTTATTATTTTATATGCTTAATAGGGAATTCTGATATAACAG